AGCGAACCTACTGTCCCCAAAGGGCAACTGAAAATTACACCCGCTTCCCCAGAGGCATTGAATCTGCTCAGGTCCTCCCCGCAGGCCCTCACCCGATGGTTCTGGTAGGCAGTGACCGCCGTGAATCGCGTCTCCTCAAACACAAAGGTTTTAAAGTTCTCCTCGGCATATTTCTCGCTATCTTTGCGCGGGTCCACATAGACGACGTGGAAGCGGGGCTGGTATCTGTGCATGGAATTCAGAATAATCTGGAAGACAAGGTGGGGAATCAGCTCTAGTGGTGGGGCTGGGCTGAGGATCTGGGGTGGGAGCCAGGAAACGGGCTGAGGTCTGAGTTGGCAATGAGTTTCCTGGATAAGTTGGGCAAAACCCTTAATTCCAAGATGAGGCTGGGTCACTGGGCCAAGAGGAGGCTGTGACCCACTGGCAACTGCCAGGAATGAGCTCCAAGCGGCAAAAGATCTGGGTTTAGGTTCTGTGGTGCCTGCCCAGCGGCCTCGCCGCCCTGGACTCCATAAAGCCTTTCCCCAGCCCCCTTGCACGGCCCCATCCTTTCCATTAAAAAAGGTTCCCGCATAAAATCAGGAGTGGGGTGAGAGAAGGAGGGCGACCCCTCTCCCAGGGCCCAGGTCCACTAGGCTGTGTGACCCCTGACCAGAGGCTGCTCTCCCCATCGGCACGCCAGTGCTGCCCAAGCTCTGCCTCAGCCTCTGGCCTCGCAGGGACTCTAAAGGGCCTCCTCAGGGGCAGCCCAGAGCCTCCTGGAGACAGCCGAGGGCCTGGGGACTCTACAGGCCTCTTAGGGACAGGCGGGTGCCTGGGGACACGAGGCCTTGCTTGTGGGACACCGGGAGCCTGGGGAGGCGGTCGCTCACGTGGCCGTTGTCGTCCAGTAGGTTGTTGGTCAGCTTGAGCTTGTCGAAGGACACGATTTGCTTCATCCACTGTGCGCCCTTGGCAGGCGAGTCGGGGTGGTAGTGCACGCGGCCTGGCGTGGCAGGGTCAGCCTTCCCTGCCACCAGCCAAGAGGAGCTGTGGAAGGCGTACCTGGAGCGGCACGGAGCAGGGTTGTGCATGTGGAGGTGAACCCAGAGGGCCTTGACCTCTGTGCTGCATGAACCCTAAAAATGCCTCTGAGAAGTTTCCCCGCCTGTGAGATTGAACCCTCTGCTGCCACACATGCTGGGAGCTTTTCCGAGGGGGCCTATGGACTAAACAGAGAACTTCCACCCACCCCAACACTCAAAACAATTAAGGAACTGGACACCCCGTGGGGCACTGAGCGCTCCCACCATCTCATTTCGCTGGATGCGGGTCCTCCGGCCCGGTGCCGCTGCGGTGGGAGCCCACACTTGGTCTTGCCGGGCCTCAGGCACAGGGCAGTGCTCATTCTCTTTATTAATTGCTGTTAATTGTCCAGGCAGCTGAGGCCCGCCCTGCATAATCTCTCCCGGCCACCCCACCTTTCCGGCCCAGCTCCAGGACCCAGAGTTCCCTGGGGATGGGGGAAGGGAACTAGGCACTCAGGCCGGCCTCCTGGGAGACAGAGACTTTAAGAAGTCCGGGGCTGGGTACTTGAGTGACCACCCTAGGGCCACACCAGCCCAGGGGCGCAAGAGCTATCTGCAGCCTGCGGCTCAAGGGGCTCCCAGAGGCGGGTTCTGAGAGCACATGGAGTGGGATTGTCGGTCTGGGGTCAGATGGGAGTGGAGGAGGGAGCGGGTTGATCGGGCAGCATCGCAGGTGCCTGAAGAGTTTCATGGTGCAGACGACCCTTGGAGTTGGGTCACCAGGCAGAGACCTGCCACTTTCCAGGGTGCCCTCCCAGGTCCCTTACGCTCACAACCGCTCGCTCACCGGTAGCGCTTATCATCCACCGGCACGAAGTCCATAAGCAGCATATAGTCGGCCATGGGATCCATGCCGAAGAGCTTCACTTGGAAGGTGGGGAACATCCGCCTGGGGGTGATGAGGCCTCCGGTCACCCCAGCTGGTGGAAGGCAGCCCCCCTTAACCTGCCTGGGGCTAGCAGCCCCTCTGCTTGGCCCTTCCCTCCAGCCTCTGGGGGCTGCTGTGTCATCCCAACCCTTGGGCTCCATCTCTCCTGGCTTAGCTGCTCTAATCTGAGCAGGCCCCTACTCAACTGGGAGCTCGGCACAGCAGTGGAGCTTCCTGGGCCGTTCCTGGACACAGAAATGGCAGGCCCAGCGCTGGAGACCCCACCTTCGGCAACCTTGGACTGCATAAAGCCGACCTTGCCCTTGCTGACTTTTTGGCCTCTTGGTCCCAGATTCGGCTGGCAGCAGGGTGCCTAACATGCACCCTTAGCAGAGCCTCCCCAAATTGATGAAAGCAGCTCCCGGCTCCAACAAAGTGAAACTGGGTAGTCCCGTGTGATTTCAAGGCGTACTCACTGCCCTTTTAGCTGGGTCTTCGGCTGTTACCCAATCCCCTCAGTGAGGCGAGGGCCCAGAGCCCTCACTCCCCTGACACTCAGGGCCCCACTCTATCATGGCCCCATGAAAGAGTCTCCCCACCTTCCTCAGGGCACAGGCAAGCTTCTGCTCCCCTTAAGACACATAACCCCAAGAGGCGGCTACCCAGGGTGGACGCAGCTTATGTCTTTCCCATTCCTCAAATCTCCCCCGCTTTGGACCCTGGCTCAGTAACCGATCAGGGCTCTTGAAAGGACATTCTGTGGTACCTGGACGGGTGTAGGCCATGGGCAGCCCCCACATGATGGCGCAGGAGTAGTGGCCGTGGGGCCCTTCAAGACAACACAAGGATTGGCCCTCACTTGCCCTCCCCACTGCCTCCCCTCACAAGCAACTCCCTGCAGAAGCCTCTGAACGTAGGTTCCCAGGTGAAGCCCAGCACGGACAAGGCCCTTGCCGGGCTGGCCTGAGCCAGAGGCTGTGCTGCCGCTGTCCTCAGGAGGGCCTGTGTGCCTGGGGACAGCAAGGAGGGCCTGGAAAAAAACCCACAGAGCTGGAGCGGAGCACAGGCCCAGGTTCCTCAGGAAGGACGCGGGCAGCAGGGAAACAGAAACTACAAGAAGGCTTTGCAAACAGGCCCTGAGCTCCCCTTGGCTGTTCGAACTCCGAGCTGGTGTGTACATTTAGACACAGCCCGGCACCCGCCTTTGTCTAATGGTCAAATCGGGTGCATCTGCAAAACTTGTTCCCCTTCTCTCTTGGTCTTTAAAACAAATACAGGCCGGTTGGAAGGTGACGGGCCGCTGGCTACAGAGCCAGGCCTCACAACTATGGGGATCTAGGTTGAAGGAAACTGGGTAGCAACTTCCACGGAACAGTGCACGCTGTTTTTAAGGGCAATCTTCTCCTGAAAGTGTTCAGAGAGCTGCCTGGCTGCTGCTCTATTATCTTCCCCGCATAGACTGAACTCCAGAACCGAACTAGCGTTTCCTTGAGGTGGGATTTACTAGGAGTCGGCCCGGCGGCGAGGTCCCCTGGACGCCGCTGCCTGTCCCCAGCCGGGTGCGTTCCAAGCTGGGCCGGTTTCTGGGCCGCGCGGCGTCCTGGGGCCGCCGGCGGGGCGGGCGGGCGAGTCCCGCGGGGCTCCTCGCCGGTTTCCGTGTGGCCCGCGCCGTCTCCTCCCGCCCCGGCGGAGGATAGGTGAGTGTTAGGAGGGGAGCGCCGGGCGGCTGTCGCCGGAGCCGGGACGGCGGACAGCGAGGGAGGCAGCGGGGCCCAGAGGGGCCCGCAGGTGGCCGGGCCGCGCCCCCGACCCGGCTTTCGGCCCCGCTCGCGCGGATCCGGCGGAGGCCCGCGGCCCTGGCTGCAGCACGTGGGGAGGGTCGCGGCGTGGGGAGGGGCGCCCTGACCTGCCGGCCTTGGTGACGATCATCTCGGTGCCCAGCTGGTTGAACTCGTCCCACAGTGCCTTCATCTCCAGCTGCACGCTCACACCGGCCACCTTCGCGTTCTTCTTCACCGGCGCCTTGGCTGCGGCCGCGCAGCTGGCCCCGGGGCCCTCGGGCTCGGCGGCAGCGCTGGTGGCGGCCCCGGCGGCCGGCGCAAACGGGTAGGCGTGCGGCGGCGGCGGGCCCGGGGCGCCGGGGGCGGCGGCGGCGCACGGGTCGTAACGCGGCGGCGGCGGCGGCGGCGGGGGCTCGCGCGGGCCGTACGGGTCGGCGCCGGGCGACGCGGCGCCCGGGAAGCCCCCCGCGGCCCCCAGGCTGCTCAGGCTGCTGGCCGTGAAGGCTGCAACGTCGCAGAAGTGCGAGAGCTGCGTGAGCCACGGGCTGGACACGGCGGAGATCATGACCCGCGGGCCGCCGCCGCCGCCGCCGCCGCCCCCGCCACCGAGCTGAGCGCTGCCCCGCGCCGCGGGCCGAGTGGCGGGCGCCGCGCTGCGTGCGCCCCGGGCCGCGCAGCCCCACACCGCAGGCCGGCCCCGAGGAGGCGCCCCGCCCCGCCCCGCCCCGCGCCCCCCCACCCCCGCGCCGAGACAATGGCCTCGCTCCCTCCCCCGGCCCTCGCCCCTCCCCCGCCCCTTCCCCCTCCCCGGCCCCCAGCCCGCCCGCCGCGGCTCGCTCGGCCCGGGGCCCCCCGACCGCCCGGACCGGCTCACCGATGCGCCGGGCCCTTCGGCCGGCCCTCGCTCTGCCGCCCGCCCGCGTGCGTTTCTCCTCTCTCTCTCCCAGACGTTCTTTTCCTAATTTGTTATTTTACCTTTGTCGTCCTCATTTAAATTTTCCCTCCCGATCATCTTTCCTTCTTCCCCTATCTCAGTAGTTTCTCTTTATTTCTGTTTTACTTTCCGCCTCTTCCCGTTTTTCTCCATCCTCGCCTTCCTTTTCACTTTATTTTTAATCATTCTTTGTCTTTCTTTTAGTCGGCGCCTTTCCTCTTATTTCTGTATGCTCTTTGTTTTTTATGTTTTTTTTTTCAAAAAGAAAAAAAACTAAAGTCTTTCCTTTTTTTCTTTTTTATGACTTTGCTTTCTGTCTTAAATTTTCCCTTCATTTTCTCTCTTCTCTTTCGCTCTTGCTTTTTATTGCCTTTTCGTGTCTTTCTGTTTCTCTCCTACCTTCTTCTTCGGGTTTTTTGTGTTTTCTCCCCTTTGCTCAATTTCGTCTCCTCCGCTTCCTCGCGGCTTTCTCTCCTTCTGTGAAACTCTTCTGCACTCTCCTCTCTTACTAACTTTCCTCCCCTCTCTCCAAGCTCACGGCCACCTCTGCTCTTCTTCCCAGCCTCACTTGCCCTCTTCCGGGCCTGTGTTTACCTGCGTGCCCATCTCCAAAGCTGGGCCCCCAGGCTGGTGAGGGGACAGGCTTTGGGCGGGATGCTAGCTCTTCCTCTCTGCCCCAGAGCCGCAGCCAGAAGCCTGGAGCCCACCCTACCAAGAGCTTCCTCCACCTACTCTTCACGCGGGCCCCATAGCAGCTGAGGCAGGGGGTCTGGCGGGCGGGCCAGTGTAGACACGGCCTAGAGGCTCACCTTCCATGTCTCTGGTGACCGTGCTGAAGTGCATCCCGGTCGGGGACCCTGGCAGCCAGCGAAGCTTCACCCGGTCGGAGGACCCCGAGCCCTGGTGGGCGGTGCGCTCCGCTGCCTGGGCTGCAACGAGAGAGGCGATGCTGAACGCACTGGCCCGGGGAGACAGCGGGCTCCGCGCGTCCATAGGCGCCCGGCGGCCTGGCCGGCGCCGCCTTCCACTGCGTGTGCCCAGCCTCACCGCGCCCAGCCCAGCCCACGAAGCCCGGGGGCGGGGGCCTGTGGTGCCACTCACAGCCGGGGGCCCTTGGCCCAGAGGATTATGGCGTCATGGGCCCCCCACTTGGGGTTGGTAGCAGCCTAGGGGCCCAAACGGGTGGAGCACCCTGGAAGTACAGGGCCCTCCTGCTTTCCAAGCTCCCTGCCCCTTTCGACCGTTCCCAGGGACCTCCATGACCAACGCCCCTTGAACATCCCGTTGCTCCTGCAAAGGCACGGCTTTCCTCTGTACAGCGAAGCCACCATCAGCTTCTACAGCCCCCCGAGGAGAGGTGTCTATACCAGCAGCACCCAGCCCTAGCCCGAGGTGGCAGGGCACCCATGAAGCACCCAGTGGCTGCCGGGGCCCAGCCCTGCCCCTGCCCTTGGCCCCTCCCGCCTCCACCTCCTCCCTGGCTGCCCCTGCACCTGGGTGAGGAGAGGGCAGCTTGGGCTCTCACACCGGCCACTGGCAGGAGCCCCAGGGCCACAGCGTCCTCTGTTCCTCGGCGCAACAGGATAGGACCCAACCCAGTAAATGCCCAACAGCCCCCTGAAGTTGGCTCACTATCGTCGCTGGAGACCCCAGCGGAGGGACGCTGCCCAGGCTGCGCAGCCCAGGAGCCCAAGCGTCACGCGCACTTGCGCGCACCGCCCGCCTCTGGCCAGGACGCTTATACATCCGGAGGGTGGGCAGTGCCCGCTCCTCCGACCTCCCTGCGCACCGGCCGGGTGCAGGGAGGGCCGGGGGCGGGGCCTGGCCAGCCGAGGGAGCCGAGGACACGGGGACATGTTGGAGAACTTCAGGCCACTGGATCTGATGCTGCCCCTCGGCACCCAGCAGCCAGCCTGCCTTCCGGGAGAAGCTCTGTGGCGCGACCAGGCTGGGCAGAGTGAGGCCAAGGCCCGCCCCTCAGCCTGGTTTCTAGGCCCAGGCATCCCATACGCCAAGGCCTGACTTGGCCTGTGCGTTCCCCCACCTACTGTATCCGGGGTCTCCTCTGACCAGTTCAGCGCACCCATGGCTTTCCTGTCCAGGGTCTCTCCAGCTGGGTGTCAACCCTGGAATCTCTGTGCCTTGCTGGAGCTAGTGCTGGTGGTCAGGGCCACGGTTTGCAAGGCCTGTCTGTATACAACCTCATCAAGTGTAGCCTTCACTTTCGTGTGCTTGGGATGCAAGTGAGAGGCAGGCAGCCTCTCCCAGATTTTTTAGGATCTCAGGGCCTCAGACCCTGGGCTGCAGAGGATGCTGGCTGGGAACTGGGAAGGCCTGGTAACTGGGGCTGGGGGACTGGGTGCCAGTAGGGAGGCTGGCCCTGGGACTGAGGTCCAGGAATGCATGTGAGTCCAGGGCCACAGCGGGTGAGTATACGAATAGTGCTGCCTGTCTGGGATGTGGTGTGTGTCACTGCCTGTATGGGGTGCCCCAGGTCCTGCCCCTCGCAGCCCCTGCCACCTGCAGCTGGAGCTTTGTGGGCCATGTCAGAAAAGGGAAGCTGTCCCCAGTGCATTTCTCTTGCCCTGAGTAGTCATTCTGGGCCATGACAGTGACAATGACTTGTGTCTCTCAGTGTCACTGAGGGGACCCAGGGACAGGTCCAGTGAGGAGTGCTGTGTGGGGATGGACCAGTTGGTTCCAGGCCCCTTTCCCTCTTCTCTGAGCAGGACCAGTCATTGCCCCTAGGAGCCGCTCCTGCGGGAAGCGACAGTCTTGCTGGAGGCAGGTGGGAAGGATGCTGGTGGCCACGGATTTGGTAGTGTTGCAGGAGACATGCCTATGTTGGCGGTCTGCACCCAGAGAGGCCTGGGTTGGTCGGTGGGGGTATGGGGGTGGGACTCCTGCATGTGCCCCAGCCTGTGGGTGTGCCCAAGCTTGTGTGCTGTGCACATCTGCACACACCTCAGGGCAGTGGCCAGATGTGGGGCCTGTGGGTGAGGCGAACACTGAGGACGGAGAAGTGAAAGTGAAAAACCCTGGGGCCTCCTGGAGACTCTGGGTCAGCCCCTCAAGGATCGGTCTAGAGGTCCCCAGACCTCTGCGCCTGAGGTATGTAGGGAGGAGCAGAGTCCTTCCAGCCCCCATTAACCCCTTAGTGCCTGAGCAGGACCTGAAGGCAGGCGGGGGCGGCCAGCGCCACACAGCAGAGAAGAGGCCGTCAGGGTGGAGAAAACCCTGGTCAACCAGAAGGGCGACGGGAAGAGGTGAGGGGCCCCACCCAGCCCAGCTCCGTCGCCGACCCTGCCCCGCCGGCTGCCTATACTCACTCGCTCGATTTCGGACCCCCAGACACCGCTGCTCAACGCTGGGACCCTCGGGAGCCCTCGGCTAAAGGGGCCCGGAAGCCCTCGAAGCGCGAGGCCGTCTGAGCCTCCAGCCGGAGCCGCCGCCTCCACTGCCCAGCGAGATAGGGCTCCTCCGATACTCCTTCCCGCCTAGAGCACCACCCCGCTGCGCTCCACGGCCCCGCCACCCATCCTCCCTCTTCACCTGCCACCACCCCACCCGCCGTGCCCTCCCGCAGCCCGGAGGGAGAGCACCGGTCGGGTGGCCCTAGCCCCGCACATGCGGGTTTCGCACGCGAACGCAGCGCCTCGGCACGGCCCGCGGCAAGTGTTCCACCCTCACCTGGCCCGGCCGCGGTTCCCTTCCTCCTCGCTCCCCCTGCCGGCCGCACCTCCACTGCCGCGCGATAGGAGGCCTGACTGGGAGCTCCCTTGCGTGGATCAGGAAGGTGAGGCGCGGGTGAGGGTCGCCGGGTCTGATTCCTCGGGGCTCGATGCAAGGCTAGGGCCTGGGCTGAGACGTCTGCTCTGCATGCCATGAACAGTGAAGACAAGACCCCCATTTCTCCCAGAGCAGGGTGCGAGGTGGGAGCTATGATACCATTTTACAGCCCGGAAAACCGAAGCTTGGCTTCCAGTCGCGGGGGGTAGGTAAGGGGTGGGGAGCAGAGGTTTGGCTGAGTGCAGGAGGCTGGAGGGATGGATGCGACCCAGGATACGCGGCAGCCTTTGCTGTCTGGGCTGCACCTCAGCGCTGCCCCAAGGGAGTCTAGTGTGCTGAGACTGGCCCCCCACCCCCGTCTTCGTACTTGTGGGTGAAGCAAGCCCTAATTCCAGAAGTGTTTTCCCCAGCGCAGGTAGGCTGCCTCTGGAGAATTGTGGCCGCCCATCTGTCCGCCCAGTTCCGCCTCCCCTGGGCACACGTGGCTCCCTCAGGGGAGCCTCCAGACAGGCTCCGTCAGGCCCACCCAGCAGGACCCCCTTCCCCACCTCCTGTCCATAAAGGCACAGTACCTCCCCACCGCTCAGAATTCTGAGTGCGGCTGGGTTGCCGCACACCCTCCTGCAGCCCCCGTGCGTCCCTGGTGGGCAGACAGTATACCAGGATCTTTGGGCTGAGCTGGGTTTCCCAGGCAAGTTGCGCTCCCAGCATTGGTCCCAGACCACTTGGGGCAAATATACACAAAGAAGGGACCGGTCGGAGGTTCGAAGTCCGCTGGGGACTCCTCCTCTAGGCCTCAGAGTATGGAGAGAGCAGAATCCGGCTCCCCCGCAACCCCCACCGTGCAAAGGGAAGCACTGAGGAGCCGGGCTTTACTTGACCCTGCTAATTCGTTTCAGGATGGACCGCCTGGAATTGCTTACAGCGCCTGCTTGGACACCGCCTCGGGGGTCTCGAGGAAAGCCCACCGCCAGGAGCTGCCCTCACCATCCTCCCTGCCGCCATCAGTCGCTCCGCCCCAGGGCCCCAGAGAAGGGCAGGCAGCTGGGGGCCCAAACTTCGCCGGAGCCGGGACAGGCCCGCGCGCCCAGAGGCTCTGCCCTCTCCTCCCGGCTCCACTCCCACCTCTTGACTCCCAGCCCTCTGCCACAGGCGCCAACCCAGCAGCCTTGGCGCTCCCCAATCGTCCCTCTATCCCACGAAAGTGCTTGGCCCACAACACTGGCAAACGCGACACTGCGGGTGACCCTAGTGGGCGTGGACGAGCCAAGACCCCAAACCTGGGAGGCAGGCTGGTGGGGCCACATGCCAGGGTTGCCCACGGGGCCGCTGACCTGTGGCCGCAGATCCTTAGTCACATCCCAGCCTCGGAGCCGCGGAATGGGGAGAAGAACCTCAGGCAGGGATAGCAGGGGAGGAGCAGGAGCAGGAGCGGGAGCAGGCACGGGCTCGGCGGTCTGCATCAAAACCGGGGTCGGACATTCAGTCCTGCATGCGGAGGCACTGGCAGGAGTGCTCTCTGCCCCAGTGCATAGGCAGTGGGCTTACAGCCCCTGGGGAGGGTGCTGAGTTAGAACTGGGGGGCTGTGGGGACTCCTGGAGTGGAGTGGCCCAAGCCAGAGCCAGAATGGGGGCCAGGTCTGCCTCCAGGGAGTCCAGGGAGGGCTGGAGACAGAAGCAGTTTCCTACCCTGCCTGCCAGGGCAGGGCACGTTTGGGTCCACTGCCAGATCTCCTGTGCCACCGCAGACACTGCCTACGATGAGGAAGGAGGCTGTTCCTGTTACCCAGCCTGGGGTCTCCATGGGAGTCCTCCCCAACCTGTGGCTTAGGTGGTCCCACTGCTCCTTGACCTTGCCCTCCCTGGGCTCCTCTCCTCCCTAGTGCCCGCCTCCTGACACGGAAGTCCCCACCAAGCCCGTCCCCACCAAGCCCATCCCCACGTGTCCTCGGCATTGGGCCTTTACTCAAACTGCTAGGGTGGTGGGTTACTGTGGCTGGTTCCAAGCTCTGCGGGGTGTGCCAGACAGCAGACAGGAACCCTGCCCAGGAGCTCCAGGCCTGCAGCCAGGTTCCCAGGAAGGGGCCCAGGGCTTGGAGGCGGTGTCCCTGTGAGCCTGGTCAGGCAGCTGACCACATAGCTGGCAAAGGCCTGGGAGTTAGACACAGCCTGGTGTGCACACCTTGTGGCTGGGAGGACACTGGACAGGATGATAGGAGATGTGGCCCTCTCACCCCGCAAAGGGCATTCCCTGGGACTCTTCCTAGGCCCCAACGCCACCTGCTCCCTGGTCCCAGAGCAGGGTCTGATCCACTTCAGAGTCCTAGTGCCTGGACCCTAGGGGACAAATGACTACAGGATGGACAAAGAGAACAGCGAGACCCTAAGAGAGGCAGACATAGGAGGGGGTAACGGGTGGAGAGAAGACTGGACAGGGAGGCACACAGCCCTGTGACACTAGCCTCCTCCCAGCTGGGAGGGGACCGGTCAGGGTCTGCACAGCCAGCCGCATACAGCTGACCCCCAACCTCCTGTCACCAGGCCTAGCTGTCCCCCTGCAATTATGGGTGCAGTGTTCTGGGCCAAGTTCCCAGGAGGACAGATGTGGGGAGATGATGAGAGGGATGGCTGGGCCGGATGGGTGATGGCACCCTCTGTCCCCCGACCTCACCAGGCACCAGGACTCCCTGCAGACTGGAAGTTCCCACAACTCCAGAACAAACAAACAAACAGACAGACTGATGGACAGCCCAGCCCTGGACCCCTCTCCAATTTCTGAGGCTGTTGATTTAGCTGCCCACTTGGTGGGAGGACCCAGCCACATGGGGAGCTGGCTGTCCATCTGTCTGTCCATCTCCTGGCCACACTAGCCCCTCCACCCCAGGTGCAGCTAGGCAGAGGTGAGGTTCTGAGACCCTGGATGACCTGTATGCAGGCTGCTGAGGTGGCTGGATCTCAGCCTGGGGGGCTAGCTGAGGAACCAGTCCCTGCTAGCCCCCTTCCCCTCTGTGGCCCCAGCAGGGGGAGCCACACTTGCCAGGGGAAGGGACTTGTCCCAAAAGACCCTGGAGGAGTGTTGGCTGAGGGTGAGTGGCCAGAAGATGGACACGTGCAGACACGCCCCTCCAGTTCCTCTGGGCAGCAAGGAACCCTGACTGGACAATAGCTCCCACTTGCCCATGTTCAAGGACCCACACCACCACGTGCACACACACTCACGAGCATGGGCATGAGTGCATGTGTGTGTTCACACCATGTTCCTATTCAGGCACACATACATGGGAGTGTGGGCACATATGCCTACACATGTGAGCATATCAATATTTGACCGTGGGTACATGTGTCCACATGCACACAACGGACACACAGACGTGAGCATGGGCACACACAGGCACACTGCATGCAGACACATGGACTGGGCCCAGACGCACACACGCACACTGTATGCCTGCAGACACGTGAGCATGGGCACTCTCCATGTACACAAACGTGAGCAGGGGCATGCATGCACCTCTGTACATACACAGACACACGTGAGCATGGACACACACATGCATATAGCAAACACCAACACAGACACCAGTGTGGGAGAGTGTGCACGCACCGGCATGTGTAGCAGACATACATACAGGCACACACATGTGCAGGCTTGTCACTCACAGTGACCGCTGTAACCCTTCTGTAATAATGATGATGCTCACATGCGCCTTGGGTTGACTTGAGTTGGGCGAAGCACTGTGGAAGCTTGCTGCTGCGTGACGAAGGAGGAGTGCAATATTTCAGGCCTCTCCTGCTGGGTCGTTCGTGAAGGGGATGTACTCGATGATGGTGTCTGACAGGCCAGGCTGCTTCCTTGGACATTGATACTGGAAGAGACTCTCAAGACAAGATCGCTCTACAGGGAACCTTCTGGGTGGAACTCCCTGGGAGGCCACTTTCCATGCTCAGACCCCAACCCTGAATCCTGCTTGGTGGTGAATGAGCCCCGGGAAGCTCTGAGAAGGAAGGCTCTGGGGACAAGGCCAGAGGCAATGAGGAATGACAGCTAAGCTGGTGACCTCAGCACCTTTGTTAATGGGTCCTAACGAGGCCATGCCCCCATAAACATTGGATATGTCGTATCTCTCTTTAAAGATGCTCTAAGCATTTAAAGTAATCAAATATATCACACTTGCAGTTTTCATTAAATGCTCAATTGATTCAAGGGGTCCATACTGTCACTGTGACAGTGACTGCTGGGTGACTGCTGGGAGAGACTGTGTGGAAATCCCATCTCAGTGCAGGGGAGGACTGGCCCCACACGCTGTGCCTCTCTGTCCACTCTGCTCCCTGGCCGAGTCCCCAAGGCTGTTGGATTGTCCCTGCTAGGGACCCAGGCTGCATTCGAGCCTCGCTGCCCACTGCTCTGGGCAGACCCTGCTCGTATCACCCCCTGTGCCTGTGGGGGCTGACCTGAGGAGCCCTCACAGACCTGGGGCCAAAGGCAGGTGGGCTGCCCAGGCTGGGGCAGGCTTTGGGGAGTGTCCCCAGTGGGCGAGGCTCTAGCATGGGAACTCCTTTGCTGAGACCTGTGGAGGATCCCCAAGCCCACAGGCAGAGGGGGATCGGGGCCTGGAGAAGTTGGGAGCACAGGCAACTTTCCCTGGTAGGAGTGGCAATGCAGGGCTGGGGGCTGCCAACCCTGTCTGGCCTCCCACCTACCCAGGGGAAGGAGCTGGTGAGAAGGCTGGGAATGTTTCATTTCAAAGGAGAACAGGACTCCTTCGGCAGGACCCCTGTACTCTGGACCCTTCTGCGCAGGGAGGAGCCAGGGTGGTGATGTCACCCAGTCTCAGGAGCTGGGTCCAGGAGCGAGACTCACCCTTCAGGGCTCTGTGTCTGGGAACACGCCCTGGCCTCTACAAGCCTTAGCGATGTTGTCTGAGAAGTGGGGAGAATGCTGCAGGCCCCATGGGTGGATGGAGCCATCCCATGTGGGCCCTCAATTGCAGCTCCCCTGTTGATGTCACCATTGTTGCTGCAGGGCCTCCTTGGGCCCCTCCCAGCCCCGCAGGTCCTCCCAGCACTGTGAGTAGGGGGGCTGTTGCCTCCATAGCCCCTGTGGAGCCTCCAGGCCTGGCGTGAGATTTGGGGAGGGGGCATCCAAGCTGGACCCCCCAGGAGGCCCAGTTAGGCACCCTCCTCTGGCTTCCCCACTGGGTCCATATGCCCAGATTCAGCCTTGGTTTCCCCACATCCATATGCCTGCCCCGGCCCCACCCCAGCCCTGACAAATCCCTTCCCTCCTCCAAGGCTCTGCTGAACCAGGTTGGAATTTCTCAAAAGCAAACAAACAGGCAAGCTCAGAGCTGCGGTTTTCAGAGCTCAGATTCCTCATGGGTCTGTCTGAGTCAGCATCAGGCCAGGCCGGCTGCCCCACGGCAGGCTGGATGGAGTGGGGGGCCTCAGCTGAGCACCCCCTGGCCCACTGGCTGCTGGACCTGAGCAGGGACCGGGCTCAGAGCCTACAGTCCCAGAGAGCACCTGGCTGCCCCGGTTCCCTCCTGAGACCCAGCAAGGATGGCAGGAGGCTGCAGTCAGTGCTGAATTTGGGTCTGGAGTGGCCGGGTGGGAGGTGGACGGGATCCACTGCCGTGGCTGGTGACGATGCCTGTACCGATGCAGGGCTGGGGGACATGGAGGGTGAGGATTGGAGGGACTGGAGGCTCAGGGTGGGGGCTAGGCCAGGGTATGGGCTGAGGGGAGGTGACCCGAGGTGGCCATCACAGCGGGTGGTGACATCCTCAGGCCCGTGGCAGGGCAGGGCAGGGCGTGGAGGCTGCTGTGGAGGAACGTGGGGGTGGGAGAGGCGGGCCGGGGCCAGGAGGGCACCTCAAGGGTTAGGAGGGAGGGTTGGGGAGAGGGGAGGGGTGGGAGGGGTTCTCGCCAGGTGGTCTTAATCTCCTCAGTGAAATAGGAGTCCTGGGGGGTGGGCGGGGGAGGTGGGAGCTGGAGACAGCTGCGGGAGGGGGCCGGGCCTGACAGCCTGAGGCCGCCAGGAACCCCTGCCTACCGGGCCGATGAGTGTCTGTGGGCTGAGACTCGGAGCTGGTTCTTCCACCCACCCCTTTTCGCTTGGCCTCATCTGCCTTTACTGGGATGATTTCTGTCGCCAGGAGGGGCTGGCATGTGTCTGTGGGGGTGTCATCTGGGCCCTTCCTGCTCTCTTAACTGCCTGAGTGACTGGGCAGGGCCTGGGCCACTGATGCCCCCTCACTTGGGTCCCCACTAAGCTGTTGTCTGCTCTGAGGTAATGCCAGTGGGGCTGGGGGTGCAGTGGGGAGGGAGGAGACCCTGGCCATCCCTGGACCCCTCAGCTTTCCCTACCAGTCCAGCTCAGGGAACAGAGGGACAGTGCGGGGGGTATGGGTCCAGGACACATGTGGCTCCAGTGTGGACGTCCTGGGAGACGGGACGGGCATGCGCAGTATGGAGGTGCCGGCTGCCCCATCCTGCTAAGTGGGAGATTGGCACCAGCTGTGCTGGGTGGACAGACAGATGGATGTGAGCTTTCGCCGGTGCCCTAAAGCCAGTCCAGCTTCTCCATCCAGCATGTTTGCCAGGACCAAGTGACCCAGCGGCCACCCCATCCTGGGTGGGGGTGTGGACGGGCGCTGGGCTGTCTCGGGCTTCGCCAGGAACTCCCAGGCCCTGGGGTTGGTCTGAGTGTCCAAGGTACCCACTGCAGTGGAGGTCCCAGCCTGGAGAAGCCAACGCAGTCCCCACGACAGAGCTGGCCTGGAACAGGTGGGGCAGGAGCACCTGGGCCATCCCTGGATCCTCTGGGCTGGCTTGGCTCTCCTGTGGACCCCATGACCAGGGCCCCTCCCTGCAGTGCCCATCCGCACCCCCATGTGGCTCCCATGTTGACAGAGCCCTTGGCCACCTGTCCCCTCCCTCCCGGCCCTGTGCCCTGTCCCCACCTCCAGATAAGCCAGCCTGCTCCCCTTGCACCTGCTGGGCCCTGCACTCTGCTGATTATGTCTGTTCCTTGGGGCTGTCAGGGTGGTACTCGCCCCAGGGCATTTGCTGTTGTGTCATTGTTCCCTCTGGGTCAGGCTCAGGGTCACCAGGGCTTTGGGGGCCAGGGAAGGTAACCCCCAAAAAGACCAGCCGGTCACATGTGTAGAGCAGCAGGGAGCAACAAGGCGCAACCAAGACGTGCATGGTCTCAGATGTCACCGAGGGGGTGGCACGTGAATCCTGCTAAGCCAGCCCTCGTGAGCTAGAGGCTGGGCAGATGCACGGCAGCCCTGGGCTCAAGGAACAGGCTGGGCTTGGGGGTCTCTGGACACAAGGCCGTCAGCCCTGCACTGGTGGGACTAGTTCACTAGGCTCCCAACTCCAGAACCCTTCAACTTGGTGTTCAGGAGAGTCCCTCATGTGGCCTCAATGTCACTAACCCCCCTCCCAGCCGTCTCTGCACATTCAAGACATGATAAGTCTTAGTCACTCCCACACTTAGAGTGAATTTTTGTAATTAAGTTCTTTCCTAAAGTTGGCTACAACCAGCCAGAGTCTTAATTCAGGACAGAATATGCTTTAGGTTAGGTAGATAAAATAGGTTGATACCCTGCAAACGTCTGCGGGGCTGTGCAGGGTCAGAGGAAGCAGCCCAGGTCTAAGGGAAGAAATTTTGGGAAGGAAGTCACTGTTCCTAAATGAAAAAGAGCTATGCAACATCAGAGCTGCCTGGAAGGTAAGCAAACACAGTGCCCCCGGGAGAGTGAGGCGACCCTTCTCCCCTGAGGGTGGTGGGACACGGGGCTGCAGGGACGGAATTTAAAGGGCTTTTTTCTGACTGCAGAATTGGGTATCTGGCTTTGCTTCCGGGGGATGGAGGTGCCTTCAGACACTCAGTGTCTCTGCCCCGGCCTCAGTGCTGCAGACTGTGGAGCTTGCTTGCCTCCTCCACAACCCTCCTTGCTAGCCCAGGATCAGGGGAGTGTGGGGTGACTGTGTTCTGGATCAAGGACCAGGGCAGAGGTCTGAGGCTGCAGTGGTAAAAGACATATCCCAGTTTGACTCCCCGGAGCCTTGTAGGTGTGGTGAGAAGTGATAAAATGATTGTAGAGCCCCTAGCGTGGTGTCAGCAAATTATACGTGCCATGTATACCTATACACACATATACGCACACCTCTACATCATATCCTGGACGCAGCGAGGGTCATTGTGCAGGTGCTGAGGACACTGTCCCGGGGTCTGGACACCAGCCTCTTGGTACAGGATGTCACCCCCTTTCATTCTACACGTGCTACTACCTGTTTAATTTGGCCCCAACTGTCCCCTGCTCTGATCTTAAGACTGGAAGTCTCCAAATCGGTGCCCAGGCCCTTTCAGACCTCCTGACAGCCCCCACCCCAACCCCAATCAACAGTTGGCCTATGGCCTGGACCTAGCCCCAGAGCCTCCCCCCATGGTTTATAAGAACAGCCAGCATCAAGCATCTTGGATTTCAGATAGGGGGACCCCCCACCTGGTGGCAGCTGACACCTGAGCCCACCCTACCCAGTGGCAAGGGGCAGGGGTGAGTGACCCAGCTGGAGAGAGCTGCTATGGGAAGAGTCAGAAAATCACAGTGTCACTCACCCTGATGCCAGAGGGGAGACTGAGGCACAGAACAGGGCAAGGCTGTGGGCATCTATGCAGGGCCGGGATGAGCCAGGGTCCTGCCACATCCCTACCCCTGGTGCCCTGACCGCCCCTGCTGTCCACCCGCCCGCCCAGGCAGAAAATGGCCATTTCCTCCAGCCCCCGCCCCAGGGAGCGACATGGAGCTGGCAAAACAAACAGGCCATTCCTCCTGTGGCCGCTGGCTGGTGATGGATGGCCAGAGGGGCTGGCTGTGCTGACGGACGACCGCCCATCATGTGTGGGCCGGGGGTGGGGCCTGTCCAGGCCTCGGCCCAGGCACGGACACAGACTCCTCATCCCACTCTGAGACACTCCCGTGGCGGGGACCCATGGGGACTGAGGCCCAGCACATCAGTCCCTGGAGCCTTCAGCTCCCACTGGTGTCATGAGGTGTCCAGGTCCCCGCTGCAGGTGGGGATGTGCCAGGATGGCAGCATCTGTGAGGATAGGGTCTCCCAGGCACCTCCTCGGCTCCTGCTAGTTGCCAAGGGCAAGAGCCCCCTCCTCAC